AGCTGCCCAGCGAGAGAGAGAGAGAGAGAGAGAGAGAGAGATTTAACTTTAAAGGTAAGATCTAATCACTTGGGAAGTTGACAAATGTTCCATATTTACAGTCCATATGTAAAATTGTTTAAGTCAGATGTAAAAGCACAGTGACAAAAGACACTGAGTTAAAATACCTTCGTAATGATTTTATATTATTTTTATTTTTGTTTATTCCACTTTCTCAAAAAGGGAAAACAACTTTCTGTATTTAATAAATTACTGTACAGGTGAATATTCTGAATTCTGTGATTCTTTTTTTCACTGGCATAAAGGGAAAATGATTGTAAGAAATTACTTGGCTTCCTTTAACAGCTGCTGCTTCTTTTTCCAAATGTATGGGATAAACCTGAACTATCCAATTTTCTGTTACAGCCAGTGTCAGTACGTAGGAAGTGAAAAACCTGCACCATTAAACATGACTTGAATTGATTGATGAGGACAGAAAAATGTTTTGTTAATTATGAAAAAAGATTAAAGATTGATTAGACCATTGTCATGACATGATTGTTGCATGAAAAAAGGGACTTCAACATGTATTTGATGGTTTTGAGCCCTTTTACTTCTTGTTAGCCTCTCTGGCCAATAAAAACTCTTGTTTCTAACTGTTTACGAGCCTTTTTCTGAGCATCAGGTATGTCCATCCATCCATCCATCCATCCATCCATCCATCCATCCATCCATCCATCCATCCAGCCATCCATCCATCCATCCATCCATCTATTCATCCATCCATGTATCAACCTTGCCGACTTGTTCTTCCTTTTAGGCAGTTTAGTTCATTTTTTGTTAATGTGTTTTATTGTCAGCCATGCTTTTATTTTGACATGAAAAACTATGGTAAAAAAGAAAGTGTGCATTAAGAGTCAGTGCAGCACATACTAGTGCAGAGGGAGGAAGCATGCTCTACAACATAGATTCTCAAACTGGGGTCCCAGGACCCCCAGGGGTCCGCGAGCTGCATCTTGGGTGTCCTCAAAAGTTTTCAATAAATTCTTAATTTGATTTTTTTTTTTTTAATGCATATGGGGTACAATACACTAGTAAAACAAACATACTAAACCAAACAAAAGATAATATTCCCATGGCATTTAGGAGGTAAAATGATATTAAATTATTTTTAAAACAGTATGGGGTTTATGAGGGGGTCCCTGGAAAATTTTTGTCCTTGTAAGGGGTCCCCAGACTCAAAATGCTTGAGAACCCCTGCTCTACAACATGAAAAGAGATAAAGCCTTGTGTAAMTCATGGAGAAGCAACGCCTGTATGYATGATTATTTGTTTTCTCAGTGGTTTCATTTGTGAATGTGTGCTAAAATATAAGCTTTGTTAAGCTAGTTAGAGCAAGTGTAAAATATCAGACACATGTTCAAGCTAATTGCTATGCACCAGCAGATGGTGCTGTTTCACTGTGAGTTCATAGACTTAAATAATAGATCACTAGACTGAGCCACGCCCATACAGTTCACTGTTAGCATCTGTGACAGACTGGAGGAGCAGAAACAGACCTAACAGGACAACAGCTCACAGCCTCCATAGAAACTAATATGTAAACAGATCTGTTTCACAGATTATCTGTCATGTTTTTACAATAAATTTATAACTATGTTAATTTCATTCAACAATCATGTAAAACAGCAGATTTATACCAGAAAAATATATGATTTATAATTAACAATGATCTAAACCAGACCTGAAGTCAGCCTGT